AAAATGAGCAGCATTTATATAGTTACATAAAGAGTTGAAGAGGAACCCACCCTAAACCCTAAACTCAAGGAACCCACCCTGAACCCAAAACTTTAGATAACGGACAGCGTTTAGTTACATAAAGAATTACATAAATAAACTTTAGATAACAAAATGGGCGGCGTTTAGTTACATAAAGAGTTGAAGAGGAACCCACCCTAAACCCTAAACTCAAGGAACCCGCCCTAAGCCCTAAGCTAAAAAGGGGAGCATTCAGTTACATAAATAATTACACAAAGAATTTAAGAGACCAAAAAAAGAGAAACCCACCTTAAAGCCTAAAATCTTTTAAACACGGGCAGTGTTTTGTTTCATAAAGAATGAATATAAACCCTCAGACCAAAGCAGACCAAAGAATTTGACAAAACGAAAGACAAGAGCAGGATCGAAGAAAGACAAGAGTCGTGATGGGTTTGAAAGGGTTGTCTCGACAGTTTCTGATATTTCTCCAGAGTCTTGACAGTCTTGAAAGTTCTTTGAGAGTCTTGAGAGTTTTGAGAGTTTTTCCATATTTGATATATGAGTGGAACTCGCGAATCGTGTCGAAATACTACCTTGAAAGCATTGCTAGCATCCTGTTTCAAACCAAAGTTGTTGGCCCTTTCTGGGCAATAGACTGTTGGCGCTTGATGTCTGCGCTCGACGATGCTGGTACCTCTGAAAAGCAAGAGCCACAGACAGAGGTCAAAGATCCAGAGAACGCCGATACACTGCTAGAGGCAGAGGAAGATGAGAAAGAGGACGAGAATCAAAAGGAGCAAGAGACAGATGAGCCAAAGACAGAGAATCCAGAAGATTTCCCCGTAAGATTATAAAACATCTTCTTCCAATTCTTCTGAGGATTCTTTGCTCTCTTGCGAGCAGCTGCCGGGCGTTTACGCGGAAGTTCCTTGTCCGGGTCGGTGCTGGTGCGAGCTGCCGGGCGTTTGGTGCCGGTGCGAGCTGCCGGGCGTTTGCACGGAGATGCCTCCTCGTCCTGTTCTTGGCTGCTGCTGGATACCTTAAAGCTTGCGCTTGCAAGAATGTTGGTGTTTAACCTATATAAGCATACGTACTAACCTATATAAGCATACGTACGTATTCGGCTGCCTCCACGACAACATTATCTTCTTTCTTCTTGCCAAGTACCTCTCAGAACTGAAGTTGACTGAACCTTAAGGTCCACTTACCTTCGCACTTCCTCATCCTTTTCATGAGCCAGCTCAGCCCCTCAAATAACTCTCAATCTCAAGACTCTCAAACTCTCAAAACTTGCAAAACTCTCCACTCGGAACCCTCAAACTTTCAATACTTAAGCACCTCGTCCAACAGTGTCTGATCTTCTGCGGGTATGGATTCTCCTTCCTTCCTCAACCCCGACTCATCAGGTTCCTGGCTTGGTGACAAATTGGGTCACAATAACTCAAAAATCTCGGGTTGCAATAACTCATCCACGAGATCTCGGGTCACAATAACTCAACATTATGCAACAAAGCAACCGCAAGAGGTAACACTCCAGGATCTTTGGAACTTCTTGCCTCACGTTTTGCAGCACCCTCAAACTTTCATTTCAAAAACCCTCAGAACTTCTGCGCCGATAATATCAATCAAAAGGCAGTGGATGTGGCGAGCGCGCTGAAGTCGGGAAGATCATCATTAGGCGACTTCCAAACATCCTCCTCCATGCCAAAATGGCACGCTATTCATGGTGCATACAGGGCACAGAACTAAGGAGCGCAGGTGGGGGTCACATGCAAAGGATAGGCCTGGCTGTCATTGTAATGAACACTTCCCAGCAAAGATCTGAGCATCTGGATTTCGTGCTGGGTGGCCATGCTGCAAGTACGTTGGAACCCTAGTTTCCAAATTCTCCTCGCAAAGAGACCTCGAAGACTCTCAAAACAACCAAAAAATAAACTCTCAAGAAACTCGGTGTTAAAACCCTCGTAACTCGATGTCAAAGCTCTCAGGCACATGTAAACATCTCAAACCTCTGAAGAACACTCGATCTTAGTTAGTTGCTGTTTCTCATCAGCGCTGCATTTGCAAAGTTTGATCAGGGTAATCCGAATCACCTCGCCAACCTTGTCAGCATCATCCTTGCTGAAGGTGGCTAACTTGCTCACCTCACCGCCATCTATATGGCACTGATAGATTGCCTGCGCAATCTTGGTCTTGTTTACCGCAGTGTTAGGGCACAGGATCAGCAATTCCTGGAACGCAACAGTGTACTTGGAAAGTATTCCCAACGCGGTCTTCGGCGTGCTGGTCCAGTTGCATTGCCCTTCTCTGGCCAGCTGAACCATGTGGTGTAGGTTCCTTCCTGTCTCTGCCATGCCCTTTTCTAATGTTTCTTGAAGGTTGACCATGGAAACATTCCCATCAGCTGACAACCGTGAGCGCTTGGTTTTCAAAGCCATGGAATACGGAGACGTTTTCTTCGCGTCTCTCTAAATCAAAAGGTGGTGCTCAACGCGTTCAAGGGTTTCTGGTTAGTTCTTGAAATCTTTGGATTATGTAGTGCTTTGGTCTCTCTAAACCTCTCAACGCTTTCAATCAACCACTGTTGGGAAGTTGGGCACTTGTGGCCCAGATACTGCGACGAACAAAATTGCAAGTTTGAAGCCCTAGTTGCTGCGTGTGGGTCAATCAAACCTACTGAACATCAAGCCTGCCGACTCTGTGGAAGCTCTCCAAACTCTCCAAACAAATTCCCTCAAAACTCTCTCAAAGCAAAGCTCTCAAAACTCTCTCAAAGCAAAGCTCTCAAAACTCTCAAAGCAAAGCTCTCAAAATTCTTTCAAAGCAAAGCGAAAAATCATATGTGCAAATGAACCCTGCACGTTCTTTTGCGCAACATTCTGCGATGCTGTTCTGTTCAGTTTACAAACTACAAACAGATTGGCACAGCTACAGAACAGACAGCTGTCGTACGCCATCACTCATTTCACCACACCACAGTGCCCGGAAACACAGCGTCCATTCCATGAAGTTGGTCCCTTTTGCTTCCCCTGCAGCTTTGGTATCGTTCGATTGTGTTCAGCTGAAGGAAAACACTCAAACTGGATTGGCTGCATTCAATATTGGATTGGCAGCGCCACAGATCACAATAAGGCACCTGTACACATGCATCATTGAACCCTGAACCACTCGAGTAACTCTCAGAACACTCAGAACCCTCCAACACCACCACCACCTGCACCACCACCACCACCACCTTCACCACTCTCAGTAACTCTCAGAACACTCAGTAACTATCCAACACCACCACCACCACCACGACCTGCACCACCACCACCACCACCAACAACAACAACTTATATACACTCTCAAGATTCGTTTGTTTCCAATAATAAATTTTGTTTTATTTTTTGGGAAATGGAATTTTGTAATTTTGGAAACAAAAGTTTTATTATTTGATGATAAATTTTGTTTATCAAAAACATAAGTTTTATAAAAACAATAAAATTTTCTAAAAATAATAAACCCATTTTGTTTTATCATTTTCAAGTGATTTTATCTTAAAGGATTCTTATGGCAGCTCCTCTAAGGTCGGATCGTCCCGGAAGTCGACTGGCGGATTTTTCAAGTTCTTGGGAAGGTCCAACCATTGGAAAAAGCGGCATTGTTGATCTCGTCCTCGGGGGCAACGCCAGAAAAGCCGCTGGTAGTTCTTCTGGGTCATGGAGGTGTACAGCTTGGTCTTGAGCTGGCAGTGGCATTGTGGGGCTGTTCGGAGATCCAGTCCCTGGGGGATCTGCCACATGTTGGCTTCCGGTCCCGTGGGGATTGCTGCGGTTACCTTGCTCCACTCGGTCGGTGTGTCGGTGTCGGTGGACTGGGATGCCTCCGTCATCGGAGATGGATATCGACCTCGTGCCTCCTGGAGGCTTCGTTCCTGCAGCTGCTCCCCCAAGTGGTTGACGATCTCGTCCAGCTCCTCCACCTCTAGGAGTTCGGCGGACTGGATGATCTGTCGAGACCTCATGCCCCGTGGTCCTGGAATGCGGATCTGGGAGAGAGCTTGATGCCGAAGCGCTTGGGTGATCATAACGAAGAGACGTAGTACCATCCGGTACCACGCTCGAATCATCGAGATGCTCTCCTCTGCCTCGGTGCGGTTCCTCTTGGGGCGGCTCTGCATGTTCACTCACCGGGCGGACTGAGTGGGACGACCGATCATTCTCTGTTGAGCCAGCTGAATGCTCCGTTCGTAGTAGCTCATACTCGACATGTTTGCTGTCCTGTTTCCCGGCCAACCGCCGGATTTGATCTTCTGAAAAATCTTGTAAAAAGACTCTCAATGCACCCGTCGGACCCAAATGACATCTGGCTGAAAAACCCAGTTTCTCTGATCTCAACAGGAGTCCAAACGTGGGGTCTAAATGTAGTTGAATGCCACAATGTAGGAGGAAGGGCAAGCTGATCAAAAAGGGTGCACTACGACATGTTTCATCTTCAAAAATAGCAGGTTTGAGATAGCTGCCTCGGGGGCCAAGGGAACTGGGCATAACTGCCACCCTTTCCGCGCACGACGTTTGGTGAACACTTCGAAACTGGTGTCGTTCTCGACGAAATCGAATGAATAGTTCCGGGGGCAGCATGCTTTGGTACCTCTCTAGAGCATCAAGACCAATGGCCATCCGTTGACACCCCGTATCTATTGTAGCACAACCAGCTTCAACAGATGTTTCCATAGTAAGAATCTCATGGGTGATGACCGGCGGCACGCTCATGTATACAAACTCCGCTTGAGTGTCCTTGACGGTCGGGTCGGAATGGCTAGCCGCGTCAGCATCCAGATAGAGGAACTCGATCTCGTCGGAGGTCTCCGCCGTGATGTAGTGAATGTCTTTGGGTTTTCCGTCTCCCTTGCCCCGTCCCTTATTGGGACATTCTCGACTCCAATGACCCACCTCCTGACATCGGTGACACTTCGTCCGACGTTTCAGTTCTTCAATTGATACTTTGTAAGTTCCTGGTCGAAGGGCTCCATCACGGCCAGCTCCAAAACCTCGAGCTAGGTCACGGTTCTTCTTGGCCTTCATCGCCCCCTGAAAGGATCTGGTACGAGGGCGCTCCTTCAGCATAGTCAAAAGGACCTCTTTCGCCTCGCCCTCGCTGATCTCCGTGGTGGTCTGTCCATCGTTTTCTCCATCGGACATCTCGGCCAAGGTGGTTAGCAACATCTCCGTGTCCTCGTCCTGGATCAAGTCACCCTCCATGTCCAGAACCTCGCCCTCTTCCTGGACCGTCTCCTCATAGATGGTGTGGACCTCATTGGTGGACTTCTTCTTGTCATTGCCGAGGGTGGTAATATCGAGGTCCGTCTCGTGGATCCGTAGCCAGGCCTTGACATCCGAGACCTGGAGGGAGCCACGAGTGTAGTTGAGCAGCAATTTGATTTGGTCGCTTGTCAACTGAAGGGCTGTTACCAGGAGAAAACCCTGATATTCTCCCGGAAGGTTAACACCCTTCTCCTTCACCCTGCGTTCTGCGTCATCCCAACGCAGCATAAAGGCCTGAGCCTTTTCCCCTTTGGCTCGGCGAAGATGAAAAGTGATGCGGCTGCATGCCGCCAGCATGGATTCCCTCTCCTCTTCTCCATAGTACTCCTTGGTGTCCATCAGGTTGATGAGGATTCGACCGTTATCGGGATTATCCAACCAACCATCGTCGGCTGCGAGGAATTTCATGTGCTCCCAAGGAGGGCCGGTTAGGCCCTTGAGCAACATAGGTCCCCTGGCGGTAGGTGGGGTTCGAGTCGTCCGCAGCCAAAGCTTTGCCTTGATCTTGTAGTCGCGGAACTCCATCTTAGCCCCAT